TCCGCCGCATTGTCAACACCATCCCCATCACCCTGCGCCTCCTCCTGCACCGCACCGGCGCATCCGGCATCCCCGCGCCCCGCGCCGCCGCCGCCTGGGTGGTGTTGGCCGACCAGTGGCCGTGCCGCTTGAGTTGGGTTCTCCAATGCTTGGAAGACTCTTGGCAAAGCCAACCGGCGGCAGATTTGGGGACGAGAACCTTGTGGAGCATCTTCCAGGAGAACGTGGGGGAGCTGAGCGCCCTGCGGAAGCCGCTGCACAACGTCCTCAGCCTGGACGAGGACCCCGAGCTCTTCCAGACCTTCCTCGCTGCCCACTTCCCCTTCACCGCGCATGACGCCCGCGCCTTCCTCGGTGTCACCGTCAACCTCGACCACTCCATCCGGCACAAGATGGGGCTCCTGCGCGGCCTCGACCGCCTCCAGAAAGCTGCCGTCGTCCCCGTGTCCCGCAGTGTCCAGTGTCCCCACCCCGAGTGACGGTGATGCCAATGTTGGGGTGACACCATTGGATGTTGGGGTGACACCTTTGGATGTTGGGGTGACACCGTTGGGTGTTGGGGGGATACCGCTGGACATGGGGGTGACGCTGCTGGACATTGGGGTGACGCTGCTGGGTGTTGGGGTGACACCGTTGGACGTCGAGGTGACGCTGCTGGCTGTTGAGGTGACACCACTGGATGTTGGGGTGACACCACTGGATGTCGGGGTGACGCTGCTGGATGTGGGAGTGACACTGTTGGACGTCGAGGTGACGCTGCTGGACGTCAATGTGACGCTGCTGGATGTTGGGGTGACAACGTTGGATGTTGGGGTGACGCTGCTGGACATTGGGGTGACACTGTTGGACATGGGGGTGACGCTGCTGGATGTTGGGGTGACGCTGCTGGACATTGGGGTGACACTGTTGGACATGGGGGTGACGCTGCTGGATGTTGGGGTGACACCGTTGGGTGTTGGGGTGACGCTGATGGACATTGGGGTGATGCTGCTGGATGTTGAGGTGACACCACTGGATGTTGGGGTAACACCGTTGGATGTTGGGGTGACACTGTTGGACATGGGGGTGACGCTGCTGGATGTTGGGGTGACGCTGCTGGACATTGGGGTGATGCTGCTGGATGTTGGGGTGACGCTGCTGGATGTTGGGGTGACACTATTGGACATCGAGGTGATGCTGCTGGATGTTGAGGTGACACCACTGGATGTCGGGGTGACGCTGCTGGACATGGGGGTGATGCTGCTGGATGTTGGGGTGATGCTGTTGGACATTGGGGTGACGCTGCTGGACATTGGGGTGACGCTGCTGGGTGTTGGGGTGACACCGTTGGAACCGTTGGACACGGGGGTGACGCCCCTGGATGTTGGGGATCCCCCAAAAATAGACTCGGACGTTGGGGACCCCGCGGTCACCCCGTGGGTGGTGGCCAGAGGATGCCCACGACTCATTTATCCCCCCCCGGCGTATTTGGGGACAATCTTGGCGCCAGGGATGGGGACAATTTCTGTCCCCAAGAGACACTGCAGGGGATTGGGATGACTGGGACGGACTGGGAGAGACTGGAGGGGACAAGGGAAGACCTGAAACGATCCAGGGGGGCTCCAAGCGGGGGTCGCTGCCACCCCAGGGACCCA